AGTACCTCTTTATAAACCCTTATTAAGACGACGCCTGGAATACTGCATCCTGTTTTGATCACCACATTACAAAAAAGACGTTTAGACTTTGGAAAAATTGCAAAGGACAGCAACTAAGATGATTAAGGGCCTGAAGACAAAAACATATGAAGAACGGAACTGGGTCTGGTTAATCTAGAGAAAAGAAGGACTAGGAGAGACATGGTAGCGGTATTCCAGTATTTGAGGGGCTGCCACAAAGAAGAGGGGGTCAACTTATTTTCCAGAGCACCAGAGGACAGGACAAGAAACAATGAATGGAAACAAATCAAGGAGCGAAGCAACCTGGAACTAAGGAGAAACTTCCTGACAGTGAGAACAATTAACTAGTGGAACAGCTTTGCCTTCAGACGTTGTGGGTGCTCCATCACTGGAGGTTTTTAAGAAGAAACTGGACAATCACTTGTCTGAAATGGTACAGGGTCTCCTGCTCGAGCAGGGGGTTGGACTAGAAGACCTCCAAGGTCCCTTCCAGCTCTATTCTGATTGAAATTAAATTGTTATTTTTTTTTGAAGCGAGGCTGCTGGCCAAATCAAATCAGGGTGCTTTGCTGCTTCAGCACCCTGAAATGGAGCAAATCTAGGCATCCTACGCATAGATATAGATCTACAGGCCTCCACAAATGAATGCTTCATTACTGTGTGCAACATGCAGAATTCCTCATTTCGGAAATGCAGTGACTTGACAAATCCCTTGTCTCCCAAAAAACAAAAAACAAAAACCAAAGACAGAGGAAAATAAGGCAGCTTTCCGGGGCAAAGGACACACATTTCTTCCTTATCCTGCCTCTGGAGACTCCGTTGTTCATATTCCTTCCTCGCAATTTTGCTAGAAATAAATCAGTGCACTAAAGATCCTGCGTGGTGGGCTTATCAATCAGAGTGGATGATGCAGTGGCAGCATCTGCGAAGACAGGAAAATGAGAAAAAGAGACCCAAAAAAGAAAGAAAGAAAGAAATATCTCAGGGGCTGCCCCAAAGAAGAGGGAGTCAAGCTATTCTCCAAGGCACCTGAAGGCAGGACAAGAAGCAACAGATGGAAACTAACCAAAGAGAGAAGCAACCTAGAACTAAGGAGAAACTTCCTGACAGTGAGAACAATTAACCAGTGGAACAACCTGCCTCCAGAAGCGGTGAATGCTCCAACACTGGAAGTTTTTAAGAAGAGACTGGACAACCATTTGTCCGAAATGGGATAGGGTTTCCTGCCTGAGCAGGGGGTTGGACTAGATGACCTCCAACGTCCCTTCCAACTTTATTATTATTATTATTATTATTATTATTATTATTATTATTATTATTATTATTATTATTATTATTATTATTATTATTATTATTATTATTATTATTATTATTGTAAATCAGGGAGGAAAGATTGGGTCGCAATCAGGCTATTCAGCAAACTTTGTGTCCCAGCCTTGACTCAGGGGCCTCCTTCTCCACGTTTAACTCTAAAATACCAATTCGGTGTTCATTAAATGAAACCCCAGAGCTAAAATACTCTTCCTCTCTCCCCCCCTCCTTCCCACTGTTTTGTTTTATTTAACGGTGCACTTTTATACAGATGGCAAAGCATGGTAGGAGATTTGAATCCCACCACCTGGGCAGGCTTGGGAGGGGACAAACCCCCCCTCCGCCCACCCCCCTCCAAGGATGCTGGAGGGAAAAGTGAAAAGAAGAAACATCCAGCCAGGCCATATTTCGAAATCTCACCTGCTGGGCTCAGTGAGAGGGGAAGAAAGGCTGTTAAGGTCACTCACAGTTTGAGAGACATCCCGGAGTGACCAGTAGAAAGGGAGAACATCTTTGCTTGGGCTGTTAATTGCTTATTAACTCAACGAACAAATGTACATAATGAAGAACCAGGCTCGGTGCCCTTTGAGTGGAATGTGAAGTTCCTTTTATTAGAGCAGGCTATTCATCTTTCTTTCTGAAAAATGGAGGGCCTTCAAACCTGAAGTTCTTCTAGTGAAGAGAAGGACCAAGGGGAGACATGATACCAGGGCTCCAGTATTTGAGGGGCTGTCACAGAGAGGAGGGGGGGTTCAACCTATTTTCCAAAGCACCGGAGGGCCAGACAAGGAATAACGGATGGAAACGGATCGAGGAGAGATTCAACCTGGAAACAAGGAGAAATTTTCTGACAGCGAGAACAATCGACCGATGGAACGGAAGTTGCCTTCAGATGTTGTGGGAGCTTCATCACTGGAGGCTCTCAAGACCGCCCTCTGTCAGAAATGGTGTAGGCTCTCCTGCTTGGATGGGAGGAGTTGGGCTAGATGACCTCCAAAGGTCCCTTCCAACTCTGTTGTTCTGTTATTCCAACCTGATGAAGGTAGATCTTTCCTGAAGATAGCTCTGCCTTCCAGGCCCATTGGGGATTAGATCCCATAATCACGAGTCAGCCCACCTGTTTGGGGATCATAACGGTTGAGGTCATTAAGTTGCAGGAACCTGGAGGAGGACCTTCCATTTGACAAGCAGATCTGGTACCACCCAAAACAGTTAACATCTCTTGTTTTGGACAATCGCGCTCTTGAAATCCAGTGTCAAAACGGCTGCAGAAGAAGGATGCTGAATCCACCCGATGGGTTGCAACCTAAAGAAATTGATATAGCCTGCTGAAATCGAGGCCCTGTTTGATTTGAAGAACTTCTGGCTGTGGAGACGAGGTCTAAGCAGAAGTCAGGGAATTAGACAGCTAGTTATGGCTACTGTCAGGAAATGTCAAGCAACCAGAAGACATTTCGCTTCTCATCCAAGAAGCTTCCTTCCATTCCCCACCATCTAGTCAGAGCTGAAGAAGCTTCTTGGATGAGAAGCGAAACGTCTTCAAAAGAAAAACAAGAAAGTCCAGTTGCCGACCTTTGGGTCTCTGATCACTTGCTGCTTACTGCCACCTCTAGCAAAACCATCACGATCCCTTGCCCGGCGTTCTTTTGCTTTTGTTTTTTCTTTCACTTCATTTTCTGAGCAGATCAATGTGTCTCCAGACAAGACGCTGAAGGGAAGGTGCACAGAAGAGCAGAATAACAGAGTTGGAAGGGGGGGTCTTGTAGTCCAGCCCCATGCTCAAGCAGGAGACCCTCTACCGTTCCAAGCAAGTGGCTATCCAGTCTCTTCTTAAAAGCCTGCCGTGATGAAGCACCCACAACCTCATTTAATTTTGGCCTCATTTAATTTCGCTTCCAGCCTCTTTGCTTTCCCTTTTTTCAATTGACAGGGTCCTCTTTAAGAAGTCAGATGGGGGCAAAGTATTGGTGGGCACATCGGTGCCCAGAAGCACCACACTTGGGATCAAGGTCAAGATGCTGAGAATTGTTCCCCAGAGACTTGGTAGGCAGATTTCCTTGGAGGAGAAGGTCAAGGCAGAGGAGATGATGGGGACATAAGGTTTTTCTCAGAGCCATTCATCTTTCGGGTCCAACCCTTGGAGAAGCTCCAATCAGCAAGCTATAGGTTGTGACGTTGACCACAGGCACGTGGTTGCAGTGTTTTTCTCTTAATGTGCAGTTTTGTTGAATTATAGCAGCGCTATTATAGATGGTTGTTGTTGTTGTTAGTTGCGAAGTCATGTCCGACCCATCGCGACCCCATGGACAACGTTCCTCCAGGCCTTCCTGTCCTGTACTATCTTCTGGAGTCCATTTAAGCTCCCGCCTCCTGCTTCAGGGACTCCATCCAGCCACCTCATTCTCTGTTGTCCCCTTCTTCTATTGCCCTCGATCTTTCCCAGCATAAGGCCCTTCTCCAGGGAGTCCTTCCTTCTCATTAGGTGGTCAAAGTACTTGATATTATAGATTAGCTGGCATCTTTGACTGGATGGACAGGCAAATGTGCTCAACCACTTGCTAATGAGCAGGTGTCTTCTGCCGTCCAACCCTGGTGTGTTTCTCTTATTCCAAGAAAATGAACAAATGCATTCTAGAGAAGAGCTTTCTTAGCAGAACGATAGAGAGACACGCCTTGCCAAAAAGAGGGAAGTGATACCATGAGGAAGGGAAGAGAGAGAGAAAGAGAGAAAAGAGGAGGTGGACAAGACTGCAATTAGCAATCAGATGTGTGCATGGAACATTTCTTGAAAAGTAAATATTTTTAGTATATTTTTTTATGCTGCCGTTTGCTGGTTATAATTATTTTGACATTTTAAATGGCTCTCCAGAGTGAAAGTTTAAAATGTGGAAATGGGCTGGGTTGGTTCTCACAAGGGTAAAACACAATGACTTTATATTTATTTATTGCAACTTCAGTATTGCTGAAGTTCAGTGATCGTTGGAAAGCCCTGATTGACTTTTTTTTACAAGGAACAGAAAAAAAATGAAGTTACGGTATATATGGTTTTGATCTCAATTCATAGATTATACAAACAATATAAACAAAGAATATGAGGTTGATTTGTATTTATGGTTATAACTGCAATAAAATAAAATTGGGAGTCACTTCCTAATAACAACTTCTTCTTCTTCTTCTTCTTCTTCTTCTTCTTCTTCTTCTTCTTCTTCTTCTTCTTCTTCTTCTTCTTCTTCTTCTTCTTCTTCTTCTTCTTCTTCTTCTTCTTCTTCTTCTTCTTCTTCTTCTTCTTCTTCTTCCTTCTTCTTCTTCTTCTTCTTCTTCTTCTTCTTCTTCTTCTTCTTCTTCTTCTCTTCCTTCTTCCTCCTTCCCCCTTCCTCCTCCTTCCTTCTTCTTCTGTTTTATCTAATATCTTGGCAGTTTGTTAAAATACCACAAAGATTTGGATGGAAATTGGGTGGAAACAGATGAAGTAGCCAGTAGGAACTGATGGTCTTCGGTCCATCAGGGAGAAAGGCCAGTGGCTGGAGATGACCAAAGTTGGTGAAATCCCTCCCCAAAGCAAAGTCCATTTCAATGACGTTCTGCAGACAAGTCGGAAGGTTTTTGGGGATGCCTCCCTCCCTCCACTCCCGTGTGTTTGTCCCAACGTCTGCTCTTTTCCTTCCTAGGCTGATGCCAAGATGGTCTGTGATGTCGTGAGTCGGATGGAAGACACGGAGCCATTCTCCCCTGAGCTGCTTTCAGCAATGATAAGGCTCTGGTCCGATTCTGGCCTCCAGGAGTGTTTCAACCGGTCCCGAGAATATCAGCTTAATGACTCTGCTCAATAGTGAGTTTTGCTCAGCCTTTTGAGATCGTTTCCACAAAAAGCACCAACCAGGAGCAATAGCCTTACCGTTATTGTGAAGATGCATTAAAACAGAGGTCTCCAAACTTGTCAACTTTAAGACTTGTGGACTTCAACTCCCAGAATTCCCCAGCCAGCCATGGCTGGGTCGGGAATTCTGGGAGTTGAAGTCCACAAGTCTTAAAGTTGACAAGTTTGGAAAGTCCTCCAGTAAAAAGATCTTGCACATTTGAAAATGCACTTCTTTCCCCCTCACCTTTACAGGTTAAGAAACTAGGGAGAGTGTGATTGTGATTTGAGAAGGAAGGAAGGAAGGAAGGAAGGAAGGAAGGAAGGAAGGAAGGAAGGAAGGAAGGAAGGAAGGAAGGAAGGAAGGAAGGAAGGAGCCATGGTGGTGCAGTGGTTAGAATGCAGTATTGCAGGCTAATTCTGCCGACCACCAGCAGTTCAATCCTGACTGGCTGAAGGTTGACTCAGCCTTCCAACCTTCCATCTTTCACAGACAGACAGACAGACAGACAGACAGATGATGGATAGAGAGATAAGGGATGGATAGAGATAGATAGATAGATAGATAGATAGGTAGGTAGGTAGGTAGGTAGGTAGGTAGGTAGGTAGATAGATAGATAGATAGATAGATAGATAGATAGATAGATAGATAGATAGATAGATAGATAGATAGATAGAAAGATAGAAAGATAGAAAGATAGATAGATACTTTGACCCTTCTGTGATTAAGCTTTTATTTTTGAAATATTTCAAAATTCTCTCCGTTCTCCAGACAGCCGTTCTATTTTTCTCCAGCAAAGTGGGTTCAAGGAGGCCAGGCATTTTATTATTATGGGTAATTTGTGAAATAAACCTCTACACAGCACTCTGCTATTCAATGTTCTTTTTGGGCTAAATTGCACCTGAGTAAAAAGAAGCAGAACGAGTGCAATAAAGCAGGGTATGCCGCTGAGGGGGGGAGGGAAAAATCAATAATAATGGCTATTACTATATCACCGTGTGATTGTAATGACTGCACTTTTGCCGATCTACCACCGATAGCTCACATACCACATTGGGATAAGATCTGCAGGAGATCTGGGCTGTGTTTCTGCCAGGGATCTCAAGAGATTGATGCAGAAATAACGAAAAAGAAAAAAAAACACAGCAATTAATAAAGCCTTAAAGCAGGGGTCTTCAAAGTTGGCCCTTTTGTGACTTGTGGAAGTCTCAACTCCCAGAATTGAGCCAGTCAGGATTGAACTCCTGGCAGTGGGCAGAGTCAGCCTGCAATACCGCATTCTAATCACTGTGCATCATGGATGGATGGATGGGTGGATGGATGGATGGATGGATGGATGGATGGATGGATGGATGGGCAATAACAATAGAACTTAGACTTATATACCACCAAAGTGCTTTAAAGCCCTCTCTCAGTAGCATAACATGGCTTCTCTCAATTTGCAGCTTGACAAGGGATCGTCCTCCCCTCTCCAACTCTTGCCAACTTTGGGCTTAAAAAACCCCTCATCTTTATGCAGGCCCAGACACCTTCAAAGCCCTCTTATTCTTGTTACTTCCAGCCTTTAGAGAAGCCTAAGCAGGTCCAGCCTTGCAAAAAATACCATGTCCTCTTTTTTTTCTTTTAGAAAGCTGGAATAAACCAATGGAGTTATCTGGGCGGTTTTTCCCCCCTCCGTCTCTCTCTAGCAGGGGAAACCCATTCAGATCTTTTCTTCTGCAGAAAGCTGCTAATGAGCACAAGTCTTCTGTAAGAGAAAGAGGGGGGGAAACCTTCATTTTTAGGTAGATGGTTGCCAGGGGTGCTTTCTCTTCCCAGCAATGGAAGAGGGGAATTGCAAGAAGAAAAGGCAAGGAGAGAGAGAAAAAAAAGAAGGAAAGGGGGAAAGGGAAAGAAACGCTTTAAACATAATAAGCAGCATGAAATTGTGGGAGAAAGCAACAGCGAGTAAAGAGAAAAAGGAAGAAAGGATGGGCCATGATGGATGTGATCAAAGAGGAAACTTGTTCTGCTGAAATCTGGGCATGTTCCAATTTTTATTTTTATTTTACTTAGTAGAAGTATTTATACATTGCTGTTTGGCTTGCTCTTAAAATAAGCCATGTTTTTATTCTGATCCCTTCCCTTCTCCTTTTTGTTTTATAGCTATCTAGACTGCTTAGATCGAATTGGAGCTCCGGATTATCAGCCCACAGAGCAAGATATCCTGAGAACCAGGGTCAAAACAACCGGCATTGTAGAAACCCATTTCACATTCAAAAACCTCCATTTCAGGTGAGTGGATGCAGGTAGCATGAAAGAACTATCCCGAGTCTCTCTGCCTTCCACCGCCTTGCAAAAAGCTTTGGAATCCTCCTCTAGTTTGGAAAAAATATTTCCTATGGGTTTTATGAAACGTTTCCTAAGAAATGAAATTAATTGTCCATAGCTTACGGAGTTATTAGCCTTAAAATGCTTTTGGCCTAAACTAAAGATGACAACTTGAAATCCAAATAAAATCACGAAGTCTTTGATTTGGACTCCAAAAATGGCTTTTCCGTGTTTAATCTGACAACACAACAATAATTTATCAGGCTTGTGAGCTGCCTGTTAAGCTCCCAACGGCTCCCAATATAATAATCGAAGTAAAGAAATTCCAGTAAAACCAACCGGAGGAAAAAGGCAAGAATAGCCAAAGGCAAAATGACGTATATGGAGTAAGCATATTAATTCTGTGAACCTTAGTTTTGCTCCATGTCTTATCCATATCTTTCTCCTTCCTGCCTCTTCTTGGAAGCACTGCTCTTGACCTGTCACTCAGAGGACAAGGGTGTCCTGGAGTCTTATGTGCTAGGAAAAAGTAATGAAGATTTTTCTTTGTTTCTCCTTAAGGCTGTTTGATGTTGGGGGTCAGAGATCGGAGCGTAAGAAGTGGATCCACTGTTTTGAGGATGTCACGGCAATCATTTTCTGTGTCGCACTGAGTGGGTATGACCAGGTACTCCATGAAGATGAAACAACGGTGAGTAATTCCCTGGCTAAAATAATCCCTGCCACGGCTCTTCGATGTACTGTATTTTGTTTGTAGCCACCAAACCAACAAGGTCCTTTCTTAAACCCAAAGGATCTAACAATATTCTTGATTGCTCACATGTCTTCCTTTGATGCAACAGAGATCCCTTATCTATTAATCCATAGTTGGATTTAAGCCTCTCCATTCATCAGGATGGTCTTAGCCCAGGTAATTCCAGAATTTATCCAGAACTCTTATCCTTTCTCATTGGTTATATTTGACCAGGTATCCTAATGAACAACAGGTTTTATTTTTTTCAAAGAAAGAAAGAGGAGAAATACTCTAAAGAGTTTTAATTTGGATTCTTATTCTGCTGAGAGAGGGAAGGGAGGAAGACCCAAGAGATAGGCTGCTGTCCAGGGTGCTGACAGGAAGAAATGAAAGAACAGAACAGATGGAAAAGAAAATATTTGAAAACAAACTAATATGACTTTGCAATTAACAACAACAACAATGAACAAAGGCCAGGTAGTGCCTTTTTATCAGAGTCATCGAATCGTGTTTTTCTCCCTTATGCGCATCCCTGAAAATCAACACCAAGTTGGAGAGTGTTTCTGAGCAGAAGGCTATGTGATACTAAGGAAAATATGTTGAACAATGATTCCATTTTTTCTTTCCTTAATGGACTGGGTGGAGGGCAAGGGGCATTAAACCGAAAAGTGACAGGATTACACATGAAGGATGTCATCAACTGAACCTCTTGTTATTTTATTTATTCAATTTATAAAATATGTATTTAATCCCTGTGAAATGCAACATTTGGAGCAAGGTGGTTGGGCCATCAAATCTTTGTCTGGAAATACCCAGATTTTGCAGAGAGAAATGGCAGTATCTTTGTAATAACTGGTTCCTATCAGACGGCAAGATTAATATTATTCAGATTATGGATTACTGTATGCTGTTTCTCTGAACAACTGTGTAGAGGCGTGTCAAGAAATTGTGAATTGGTGAAAACCTAACTCTTCTGATTCTTTCTTTCATACTTTTTTATCCTTTCAGCCATAACGAATAAATTTGGGTTGGGGGCAGAGTGAAGCTTGAAAATCCTAAGCTTTGCTTAGCTTTTATAGATCTGTTGTCTTTTTTTTCTCAGACACAATTCCTAAGCATGTACAGTACTTAAACTTCCAACTCATTGCTTATTTTACAAAGTGCATATTGGCAAGTCCAATATTTTCCAGGTGATGTACAGTATCTTCCAGAAATATTGAGGTTGCAAGTCTTCAGCACATTGATTCTTCTTTCACGTACATAAAAATGTTGTTATCTTGAATCATCCTGTCATGAGATTTAGGAAGCTTTCGGACAATTCTAGAAGTTTAAAATGATAAAAAGCAGACTGAAACAAGCAGCAAACAGGACAGAGAGGAAAAAAGTTATCAAATGAAGCTTTTGTGATTCTTCTTCTTTCAAATTGTGCTTCCTCATCTTGTAAATCTCTACCGCGTGACTGTAGGCTTTGTGGATTTGATACTGCAAGTGGAAAACAAATACTTACCTAGAACCTAGACAGTGAATTTTGGGTGTTCCTTGTGGTGTGTGGATTTAAAATGTCAACAGCCCCCTTTGCTTCTAACTGAAGGGGATTCAAGATTCAGCTGACTGTTTCTAAGTTGGGAGAGAACAAAATTGGGTGCATCAAGCTTGTTCTATGGTTTAAGAGCATGATTGATTTAGAGTCTTTGGATCTTATAATTAAATGGATTAGATCAAGAGGCAGGTAACCTGCTTTATAGATGTGGCAAAGTGACAAAGATCTATACTGAATGAAGAAAAGAATGAATAAATGAATGAATGAATGAATGAATGAATGATTAACTCAATATGCTAACCCATCAAAAAAATTAACCAAGCTGAAAAATAACCAAGCATAACATATTGTGCAAATATTGTGTGTCCAGGAAGGCCTGGAGGAACGTTGTCCATGGGGTCGCGATGGGTCGGACACGACTTCACAACTAACAACATAAAACCATACATGTGTGATGCTGTGAGTTTAGACATGGGCGCCTTGTAGAATTCATTCAGGATATTAAATGGGTGATGATGTCAATATGCCAATGACATAGATTGTGTGGTTTGTGTCATGATAAACATGACTTCTCTTCCTGTGCTCTGCCCATCTGAAAATGCCAAGTTGGGCTAGTCAAAAGCAAACAAGGTTTAAGCTATTTTTGTCCTATGAGAATGTTCTCCAGAAGTTAAATTTGAGTTGGACTCAAGCTCTGAAAGAATTGGTATTTACTAATTAATGGGGGGTCAATTTGCCCAGGCGTGGGACGGACAAAGAATGACGCATCAACCTAAATTAAAATTATCTAAATGGTCATCCAGGAGCTTTTAAAAGGATCTTGTGGTTTTAGACACATAGCTCATTAATTTCCCTCTACCCCACTTTACCTGCGGCTATAAAAAACTCAGTGGAAGAGATGAAAGGTTTTATACAATCGTGTTTTTTTTAACATGCTATAGTACTTCCAGAATCTCTTTATCATTCCAATGTTTAACTCAAGGGTCTTCAAACTTAGCAACTTGAAGACTTGTGGACTTCAACTCCCAGTTGCCAAGTTTGAAGACCCCTGGTTTAACTGAAGATTCTGGTACATTTCCCACAACATGTAATTAATTCACATTAACCTAGTCTTCTGGTTTTCACCATTGACTCTTTGAAGCAGACAATGAGCTTCCCTTGCTTTCTTGTGTAGGGAAAATGCCCCCATTTTCACCACCACTTTAAGTCCTTCACATTTTGATGAGCCTCTAGTGGGCTTCCAAGGTTACCTCACATTTGTTGGAACTTGATTTGAAAATCAGTGCTTTGATGGCTGCGCTGAAAAGCCATGGTTGGGTTTTGTGGTTTTTTTTGGCAGAGGGGACAGGGGTTGGTGCTACCTCGGGACCCTTCAGCAGATCTTCCCGTCACCTGAAAAAAGTTCTGTCTTTTTGTGTCTGTCCTCTTTGTCTGGTTAATTACAATTGCAATTTGTACCAGCCACATTCAACAGGAACTACAGCATTTGACCAAGACCCAAGACAAAAAAAAAAAGAAAAAAAGATACCTTTCTGGTCTAATATCTGCTTTGCTTCTCGATAACCCCTATGACTCTCTTGGTTGGCTTCAACCTCCGTCATGGCTGCTCCTTTCTGCTATTCCATTTCCACCTTCAGCCTCTCGCTTCCAACTCCAGCAGGCCTCTTCACCATCACTTTCCTTGGGCCGACTGATCTTATCTAACAGAACAAAGGCAAAAATAATGAGGTTTTGAGAGACCCTCCCAATTTGGCAGGTAGGAAGCTTCTCTTGAACTGAGAAAAACCATAGAGTTGAAAGCAGCTGAAGGACAGGACACCCCCCAGGCTGATTTTGCTGTGAACTAGACCTACCACCGTACGCCATGTACCTTGTTGCTACTTAACTGACGCGTTGATTCTGTTCTTGTTAATAATCATGTGATCACTTTATTCATGTATCCACGTATTGTTATTTCATGCATGCATTCCAACTAAAACCACATTCCTCTCTTTCTTGCATTTGAACTTGTGGCGTTATTGGAAAGCACCAAATTACAGTCTGATCTAATCTTTCCGCTTGAGGCATGAACTATACACTTAATTAATCGATAAATATTAGCATTATTCTTAGGTATTGTCTTCCTAGTCCTTCCCTTTCCCCTTCTTTTTTTTATTTTGTCCTTTGTTTCTTTTGGGATATGATTTTGAGCAGACCCCCTTCCAAAAAGTATCAGCTTAAGGACGTCAATATTAAACCTACTAACTAACAAATGTTAAATGAAATAACAAAAGGCCAAATCTCACAGCAAGATTATTGTCCTGAAGAGTCTTCTCCTCTTAGCCTGCTTTCAACTCTGGATTAATTCAAGGGTGTCATGCAGCCACCCTTGGTTAATGTCTACCGTCAAATACCGTCCCACGCAATCAATGATGATACGGTCAACATTTTCACTGATCTGTTCTAACAAACCTGCATGATTTGCTTCAATTTGCAGCCTGTAAGGGCAGAAACAATTCTTCCTCTCAGCCATCCAGATGCATGTGCATGGTGATTTATCTGAGATGGAATCCTGTTTATTTATTTTTTTCAGAAGTTATTATTCAAAATATTTAGCTCCGTTAAAAGGAAAGAAAGCCACACGCTTCAGTGCTGCTAACTGAAGCTCACATCTAGACCAACTGGGTCTCTTTGGCTGTGTTCCTGCAACACACTTAACTGTTATTGAGTAGACCCACTTCCTGGGTTCACACAATGAATTAAAGTCTACCCAGGTCAAACAGATTTGGTGAATTCAACATGCGAAGCCATTAAAAGAAACTGACCAGGGTTAAAATTGATCCAACTGAGCATCTTCTGTACATGGTGTTTAAGTGTGTTGTGAAAACCCAGTTGTCATATATGTACACATTTTTTTTTGTATGTAAATATGGGCCGTATTGCACCCATTGTGGTCTGCTTCCTTTTGAGTTTTTTTCTTTCTTAATTTTAGATGCTTCCCTACATGTTGAAGTTGGCTTTGAAAGCACCCTGGCCTGACATGTTATCTCTTTTACGTTACAGAATCGCATGCACGAATCACTGAAGCTGTTTGATAGTATCTGTAACAATAAATGGTTCACAGATACCTCCATCATCCTGTTCCTCAATAAGAAGGACATCTTCGAAGAGAAGATTAAGAAATCCCCATTAATTATCTGCTTTCCAGATTACACAGGTAAATAAAGCACCTCCTTTTATGTCAGCCTTATGCTTATTGTTACCTTATGCTTGCTTGTGCTTCGCTGCTATGCGGTGACAGACTGCCATGAACTGTGGGGAGGGGAAATGAAGGGGGGAATGCTTGGGGAAACGAAAGTAAGTGCTGAATCTCCTCAAGATGCTGCCTCAAGGTCACCCAGCTGGAAGAAGGAGCTGGACTGACAGTCATGAAAACATC